GAGAGTACTAGTGATGACCGAGGAAATAAGTTGTAGCCGTCCTGCATAGCTTAGCAATCGTGCTTTCCAGCTTCTCAATTTGGATGTGATTTTGTTCGACAGCCTCTGCCAATCCAAAGAGCTCAACTTACCCGATATTAAAGGAACACCAAGGTACCTCACAGGGAGAGAGTCCTATTGGAAACGAGATACTTGTGAAATGAAAGTCTTCTCTTCATCTGAGATTCCACACAGTATAAACTACACTTAACCGTGTTACATAGAAACCCAGAGGCCCTGTAAAACTGATCCAGTAACCTTCGTATACCAGTTACAACTCTCACTGATCCATTGGTGAATGCCAAGAGATCGTCATCAAATCACAAGTGTGTTATATCAAGAGCTTTACATTGCAAATGATAATGAATCTGATTATCACGCACTGCCTAAGCTAGCAAACATGAAAATGCTTCCATAGCAACATTTAAAAGGCATGGGGACAAGGGATCACCTTGCCTAAGACCCTTACGGGCTGGAAAATAACCACACACCCCTCCATATTGAAAGATTCACTCAATATCGAGTCGTCACACATACTTCAACTAACTCCAGGTAGCTCTCTGAGAAATTTATTGCCTTAAGAACTTTAAAAGCTCCATTTGATAGAGTCAAAAGCATTCTTGAGATCAATTTTCAACACACGTCTAGGGGTAATTGTGCTCTTATGGTAATCAATTACTAGTCCAGTAGCCATAAGAATATTGTAAATAATACTACAACCTTTAATAAAAGCATAATGAGCTTTTACTATTTCTTTGTGTAGGACTTTCGAGAGCCTATTAGAAAGAATCTTAGAAATTCCTTTATAAAGCACATTGCAACAGGAAATAGGGCAAAAATCGTTCATCTTATAAACATTGTCAACTTTTGGAATAAGAGAGATGGCTATCGAGTGTACATGTCTAGCCATTCTTATGGTATTAAAGAATTTCAACACAACATTCTCAGCATCCAATCCAATTATCCCCCAATCTGCTTGATAGAACTCAGTCGGGAACCCATCTGGGCCTGGAGCTTTGTTATTTTCCATAGATTTGTACACCTGTTGAATTTCTACTCTTGTAACTAGAAGGGAAAGTATGTCTTGGTCTTCAATATCCAGACGCCTCTGTATCAACTAATTAAAGAACTCTTGAGGGTAATCATGAAGTTCAAAATCACTTTTCCCTATCATATCAAAGTAGAACTCAACAACAACCTCACTCATCTTCTTAACATAGTAACTGACACGCTACGACACAATACCTAACAATGACCAAGTGTAACCAATGAAAGGGACTGCAGTATAGTGGCACAAGTAATAAATATCGAATCCACGGGTCTCTAGAGTTACTATTACTCAGCTTCAGTTCATTATCTAGCAAACTAGATTAAGGATTGATTTATAAACTACTCTACTGACTACTCTACTAATTACAAGTTGGGAACTCACTTAGGTATGATTCCCCCTAGCTCCTCAATTAGGTCCAAGTTGAAATTACTTTTGGTTAGTCTACTGTTGATTAAACTGCGAAAGATCCTAAATTAGCTTGGAATCTCTTAAACTGACCAAGCCCTCTTAGACAGAAATACCCGGCAGGCGACTAACCTTCACCGGGATAGACTGCTAAGGCGATTCACACAGATCTCCACTACTGGAATGAATTCCAGTACAAAGCAGTGAATTGATTGACTTTCGCACAACCAATTCACCACTATCAATCAAGGAAGCTCTCTTAACCTAATCAGATTCTATCTATCATAGGTTAAAGCAGAAATCAAGAGAATTTGATCAAGATTCAATTAACTCAATAAAATCATGCCTCAATCAATTATAATCAAGCAATATAGAATCCAAAACTTCATACAAGAAAGATCCTAACCCATGGAACTAGGGTTCCTCAAAACCTAAGTGAAGGGAAGTTACTCCATAGAAAAGAGAGAGACTGCAAAAATCTGATATTGATCTTTAATCTCCATCTCCAAGCTTGATTCCCAAGCTCCAATGGCAAAGAAATCCTCCAAAATAGCTCCAAGAATGTTCCCAAGTTGCTCTCTCTCTCTAGGGTTCGTCCCTTGGGTGTTTGGGATCCAAAAACCCAGCTCCCCCTTTCCTTTGGCTCGAATCTGCCTCAAAAACCCGATTCTGGGCGAAATACGCGCACAAATACTGTCGTAATTCTTCCATGCCCGTATTTTGCCCAAAACACGCATTTTGGTTAAGTTTCAGTGCATCCAAAGCTCCTCTCGGCAGTGAAAATACGGGCATGGGAGGGGAAAATACGGTCGTAATTCTCCTGCCCGTAATTCTTCCTCCGCCCCTGTTTAATGCTTCGTTTCTCCCTCGTCCGGATTCCGAATCAGTCGCCGTTTGATCCCAGACGCTCGTAGTCTCATCCTCTATCTTTTTATGACAAGATTACATGATTATTTGTCCATAATATGAGGTAGAATTCCATTCTTCCTCAGGTCATGCTCGTGTTTCTTCTCCCGAATTGCCAAATGAATTCCGATTGACTTGAAACTTGCGCCTTTGCTTCAATTTACATGCTAGGACCTGAAATGTGACATAGGAACACAACCTAACATAAAATAGTCCAAGAAGGCAAAAACTCAAGCCAAAATGATCAAGAAACAAGGGTGCAAACATGTGCAAATACGATGTTATCAGTAACTCTCTCCCCATTATCTTTAATAAGCAGATTAATCTTTTGCCTATGTGTAAGAATCTTTACTTATGAATGGATGAATTTTTTATTAGAATCCCCTTTTGCATCTTTAACTCCGGTTGTTCTTTGCTGGGCTTTAATTCAGATGTTCTTTTGTCATCACTGCTTCAATTTTTGTAATCATCATTGTGTTGGTATTGTCATCGGGGGCTTGATCAGTTTTCACTTTAGCTTCATGTTGAAATTTGGTCTCTGGTGCTTCGTGAATCTGTTACAAAGAATTCTTGAAATCCATATGGAATATTCAAACTAAAAAGAAAAAAGTAGAAATGTGAAGCACAGTCAGAATAAAATGAGTTTTAGGTTTAGTTTTTTTTTACATATAAGTGGTGATGGTCATAGGTATAACACTGAGAATGTCTATGTACCAGCTTCACTAGTTCAGGATAGGGATGTTGTTCTTCAAAATTCTCCCACAGGTCTCCTTAGACGAATTGTTGGCTGAAGAGCCTAAAAGGAATCTGTTGGTATGTAAATGGGCCAAAGGGACATGCGAAGGTGGTCTTGGCCTGGACCTCTAGCACGGTAGATATTTGGAAACAACTGGACATGCCATCTAGGAAGCAGTACCATTCATAACTTGCTAGTCTCTCGAGCATCTAGTCAATGAATGGAAGTGGGAAGTGATCCTTCCCGGTGGCATCATTCAACCTACAAATTGATGCAGACTCTCCATCCAGTCACAGTATGCATCGGGATTACTTTATTTTGCTAGTTCGGGACAACCGTCATCCCGCTCTTCTTGAGCACCACCTGAGTAAGAGTGACCCACTCATTGCCAGAAATAGGGAAACGATGCCCACATCTAAAAGCTTGATTATCTCCGCTTTGACCCCTTCTTCATAAGTGGGTTAAGTCTCTATTCTGGTTGCACCAGTGGCCCCACCTCGTCCTCCATAAAGAATGATGGGAGCAGAAAGAGAGTTGATCCCTCTAATGTCTGCGATCTTTTAGGCCAATCCCAACACATACTTCTTCAAGAGGGACACTAGTTTGGCCTTCTGCTCGGGGGTGAGTGTGGAGGTGATAATCATTGACAGTGTGTTGTTTTCCCATATAAATGCATAGTCCAGGTGATTGGGGAGGTGCTTCGGCTCCAGCTCTAGTGGTTTCTCTAGGGAAGTGGTGATCCGAGCTAATTTGGAGATGTCCTCCACTAGTAATTAACGCTCCTAGATATTCTCTTCCTCCAACTGCAGCTCCACTGATGCTTGTTCCCCTAGCAACAAACAACTCTGAAGGGGATCATCAATCCCCGCACTTGTGATGGCGAGTGCGGTCTCAAAATCAGAAAACATATCACAATAATGCAAGTCATCATGCTAGTGAGAATACTTAAGATTATCAAAAATGGAATAAGTAATTTGATAGAACCCGAGATTAGGGTTCTATCGAAAATTGGGGATTTAGGGATTAAGAACAGAATTAGGGATTTGAGAAGAGAAAGATAGAGAATCGGCCTAGGACTTTAGAGGGATTGGAAACAAGAATTGAGAGGATTGGGAGAATAGGGTTTAGGAGATTGTTTCTTAATATTCTTCTTGACTTATTCTGAATAAAACGCTAAGTACATATTTATAACGAAAGACTCGAAAAACCTAATAGACTATCCTAATATGATTCAATGACTACTACCATATCTAATAATATCCTAATTATAGTAATAATAATTATTATGATAAATCCAGAAAAGTTGGTTTCTATCATCCCCTTCCCCTTTAGACCAACCTTGCCCTCAAGGTTGATCGACTCAACCCACTTCTTCACGTCGTACGTGCAAATCACGCCTTATCTTCTCCATCTTCCGCACTTCCTTTTCTTCCAATCCTGCACCAACTCTTCACTTGGCCTTCCTTCTTCGACCTCTTGGTGTAGCTGCAAAGTTATTATCTTCAATTGTGATGGCTCATTCCTCGCCTCATCGAAGTATTCAAACTTCAATAATTCCTCCTTCGCGATCATGGCCCTCCAGTAACTAGAGTAATCCAAGGATTCGTTCATGTTCAAGAACCCATCCTTGAATACCATTTCATCAAGGCCTTGATAAATCCTTCTTGGAGCAAGCCCATAACTCTGTTTTGTTGTCTCTGTAATTACTTTTCGGCCCTGTTCTCTTGGAAGCCCATTTATTCCCTCATTAGACCCACCTTTCTTTTCCTCCAAGTCCACCATCTTGAAAAGACAATTTAAATGAGGTCCAACATTCTTCCAAATACTTGGCCCATATACTGATGTGAAGCGTGCCGAATGCCTCTATGAGCCCACAAGCTCGCAATATGGCCCTGACTCTGCCCAATTAATCCTAGTTTGCATCCTGACCAGTTGATCAATTTGATCCGAGTTGAGCCCCGAGCTCTCTTCTTTCATTCCCGGCCCGAAACCCCTTACCCCTTCCTTCACCACACAATCAATTGCTCTCGGCCAAACCAAGACCTCTGCCCTACCAATTAAGCCCAACAAGGCTCTGTTGTGAGGTGCTACGCCGATCATAGGAAGTGACCTAGCGTTTGGGCAAAGAACGGCACCGACCTCCTCCTTCCTTTCATTCGCCGTCACGCCTCCCGCCATCGTCGACGATTCCTTCTCCAGCTCTGGCGACGCAGCCAGGCCCGTCGCCGCCTCGTCCCGACTAGTCTCCTCCTTCCGTAATGCCTTCATCTCCGTAGCCGCGATAGAAGACTCCCCGTTGATCGCTCCTTCCTTCTTCTCCAGCGGCTTATCCTTCAATGACTCCTTCCTCTCTACCTCTGGCAACGCGCGAGGAAGCTCAACACTGCCTCTCTCCTTCTCCATCTCCGGCGGATTCCTCTTCAACGGCGACTGAGGTACGCCCTCAATCGGGAGAGAGAGAGAGAGAGAGAGAGTCGCCGCCACCCTCTTCCTCGTTCGCCGCCAGATCTGTTAACGGCGCCGGCGATCCAATCCAACGGCTCCCCACCGCCTCCGCTTCGAGCCGGCGGTCGAGGACGACACGCCCCTCCTCTGGCGGCTTCCTCCTCAACCTTGCGTCCTCACCGCCTGATGCCATCTCAGGGGCCGCCTTAAATCGCTCCAACGGGGCCGCAGATCGCGAAATCTCCGACACCATTCGCGATGCCTGCGTCGAATCGAGACGATCTTGCTCCTTCCGGAACTTCCAGCTGTCGAACGAGGTTGCCGTCGTCTGCATTGACGCGGAATCGGCCACCATGCTTGCGGCAGAGTCAATTATTGATGATGACAGCGGGGGAACCTCAACCATCTTCTTTGCATCGGACAACAAAGATTGAGGTTTGGCCACCTCCGCCTCAGTGCTGCTCTCTGATGGTTCTCCTTCCTCATCCATCTCCTTGGCTGGTGGTTCAATATTGACGCGCGGCTGTGGTGGTGCTTTGAGGTTTGCCGGCGTCTCCTCAACCTGTGGTGGAATTTCAGTTGTTGCCTCCTCGTTGTGGACAGGAGGTGCGATGATATTTGGGATTTTAAGGATGAAATAAGTTTCCCCAAACTTAGTACGATACCGTGTGATGTCGTGGGTTGCTCTGAATCTGATTTGCTTTTTGTATCGTAACCACCTGTGACCATCAGCCAACGGTCATTCTCCCGTTATTGCTAGCACATTAGATCCAACCACCTGCACATCTACGTGCTTCTCTTCGAATCCAGGAAAGGTGAAGAACAAGACAACGCTACGTTACAGCTCCATCCTCATGCTGTCAGGTTTGAAGTCTTCATATACTCGTTCGCCCCCGGTTGAGAGTTGTGACGAACTCAGAATTTCGACCATGGCTCTGATACCAAATGATAGAACCTGAGATTAGGGTTCTATCGAAAATTGGGGATTTAGGGATTAAGAACAGAATTAGGGATTTGAGAAGAGAAAGATAGAGAATCGGCCTAGGCCTTTAGAGGGATTGGGAACAAGAATTGAGAGGATTGGGAGAATAGGATTTAGGAGATTGTTTCTTAATATTCTTCTTGACTGATTCTGAATAAAACGCTAAGTACATATTTATAACGAAAGACTCGAAAAACCTAATAGACTATCCTAATTTGATTCAATGACTACTACCATATCTAATAATATCCTAATTATAGTAATAATAATTATTATGATAAATCCAGAAAAGTCGGTTTCTGTTATAATTTGCTCATTTTTAGTCCACAATAATGCAAGAAAATGTCTACCTAGAATAAGAGCCACCTGCACATCCTCATTAATGTCAAGAATCATAAAATTGACAGGGTTAAAAAATGCACCCACAGATGAACAGATCCTCAATAATACCCTTAGGATGCACAATCGATATATCAGCTAACTGAATGCTCATCATAGCTGTATTGGGTTCACCTAGGTATGTCTTTTTAAACAATGTGTAGGGCATGACATTTATGCTAGCACCTAAGTTTGCCAAGGACTTTCCTACATGCAAACTACCAATGATGTAGAGAATAGTAAAACTCCCTAGGTCTTTCCACTTCTCTAGTAGTTTGTTTTATAGTATGGTAGAACACTACTCATTCAGCATCATTGTCGATAGATCCCCAAACTTCGTTTTGTATATGAGGTCTTTTATGAACTTGGGCTTCTTTGAAAGTGCCTCGACAAACAGCAGGTTGATGCACCTACTTTAGCTTCAACATAAACTTGACGAATTCATTCTCCATTCTGCATTATGAATATGAGTGGGGAAAGAAAGTTTAGGGACATACTCCTTCACCACTAGTTATGGCCTCGGAGCAAGCACCTCTTCCTCCTTCTCCACTTCCTTTTCAAAGATTACACCTTATGAGTCGAATATAAGCACAATTTTGAAAAACTTGGCAACAAAACACCTAAAACACAAGATATGAAAAATGCATTAATGAGGTGTTATGAGCAACTAACAATTCATACACATCCGCAAGAATAGTGACTTGCTTAATGCTAAGAATTTAGTACCATAGGATATATTAGGGTTCATCAAGTCCGAGTAAAAGGTTGAACAACCTCTCATGCTTGTGCTTCTCCCGTACTTGTTTAGCTACATCAAGAAGAAACTCCCCCAACTACAATGTGACTTATTGCCAAATACCCATCAACAAGGTGGGTATGAGTTGGTTTAGAATGTGAATTATGCCCCAGACGTGTATGCATGGACAAACACACCCATTCCTATCATCAATAATTAGTTTATTTAGCTATTAACCCTTTCATATTTTTAAAAGGGGATTATTGGTCTCAATAATTATAGTCAAAATTTTGCTTCAAAACTTATAAGTTTACGTTTTTACACATCTAGGTCACCAAAATGCTTCTACTTGAAATCGTGTTTTTGATTGCCTCTCTTTCTCAAGAAGTTGATGCTACTGGTCCATCAACCCATTAGAGTATGATTGTTGTAGCAGCCCTCTGGCAGATTTGCAAATCCAAGTTATATCTTTGATGTGACAGTATTATCAACAAGTCCAGGAATGGATCAGTTTACCAACTGACAGAGCGACCTTACGATCAACTATTAGTCCTCCGCGAGGCCCATCCCGTGGTGTCTAGATTGTGGCATTTCACATGTTCATTTTGAAGAGGAGACAAAGGTAGACATTAAACATATAAACCGGGCCGATAAACATGATAATCACTCTTTAGCCATTCTCGAGGAAGTTCTTGGTTTGCTGGCAATTCATAATGGTCTTCACATACGATTTGTAGGTCGGAATAGCAACAGGGTAGCCCACTTGGTGGCTAGGAATGTCCTTTCGTTGTACCCGACTACGTGTCGTTCTTTTAATTTTATGTCCTAATTATATATTAGGATGTAATGTGTTCTATCTCATTTTTAACAAGATTATCTCTTGTAAAAAAAAATCTCAATATTTAAACCCAATTTCTTTTTATATTAAACCCCAACTTATAGTCATGCCCAGAATTAATACTGATCCAATTCACTTGAAATTTATTAAGTTTCAATATGAAGGGTATATGCTTTATGATAGGGGTGACAATCGGCTAGCCGGTTATCGGTTTAACCTATAACCGTGCCGGTAACCGGTGGTTACCGGTTAACCGATAACCGGTCGGTAGACGGTCGTTGTTGGAGGGGATTTGATGTACCGGCTTCCCTACCGGCAAATACCGATGGGTAGTCGGTTAACCGATACCGGCTGAGAACTGCTAAGGACCTAAAATCCCAACCATATACCGCATGTCGTCCTCCTCATCGCCCACCCAGACAACCCTTTCGCGTTTCTCCCCCCATCACAGACGAAAGAGAGATGACGACGGAGACTCCGCCGCCTTTTATGTCTGTCACACGCCTCCCATCTCCACCGCGTTCCTCCCAAGCTCTTCCGTTCTCTACCTCCAACACAGTCCTCTGCTAGCAGAGAAAACCCGTTGAGAAGCAGTAGTAGATATGCACGATTTTGCAGATCCATAGCGCAGCTCCTCTCTATTGACGCATGCAATCATCGCTTGTTGATTCGACCATTCACGGAGGTGCTGAGGCGGCGCGAGGTTAAATCGATTCCCTTTTGGTCTTATTCTTCATCTTTCAAGCCATTGAATCTTCAGATTCGGCTAAATTAGTAGCAGATCCCGCAGCACCATTGGACCCCAGCAGCTCCGCCATCTCTTCCACAAACCCAACAACTCCCACGGCGCGCGACGACATCTCCGACCCCGCCAGTCTCCGTCTTCTTCGACCCTCACCAATCCCTGCCTCAACCATGGCTCCTCGCGAGTCCCGTGGAACTCTCCAACCAAACGCTGTTGTTGCCGTCGTTCTGGAAGAAGAAGGTTTCCTTCGAGGATTTGACCACTCTCGGGTACCCTAGAATTGCAGAGGAATCGCGAGGAGTGAGAATGGAGAAAACTCAGAAAAGGAGAGGTTTATTCGGTATAGAAGTGTTAACCGACTAATAACCGGTAACCGGGTATCCGGTTAGCCGGTTAACCGGTTAACTTTCGTTACCGGTAATCGGCCGCAGTTTGAGGGGGAACGGTATACCGATAACCAGGTACACCGATTACCACCGCTACTTTCTGAGATGATCTCATCGATGTTCTATATTGAATCGGTACGAAATTTATATAAAAAAAACCCACTAAAATCTTAAAGCTGGAACCAATTAAATTAACTAGAGACTGATAACTTCTCCTCTCCAAGCTAGTAAATAAATAAAAGTAGACGTTTCCTACTTTTAACTTTAAATAAATAAATCGGAAACCAAGCACTACATAATGGGGTGGAGAAATATGGATAGTGTTGAGGCCAATGAGATCATATATGTGGCGATGGGGACACACAAAATGCAAAACCAGCCAGCCAATATTATACCAACCCACAAAACAAAACATTATGCATCCCCACACCACACAGGCAGAGAGAGTGTGACATTAGCATCTCCAAAATCCACAAATCATCATGATTAACCCTCTTTACCCCCACCATCCTCCTACATGCTTAGGTAAGCCAAGCCACTGCCAGCCTTGAGAAAAAAACAACCTGAAACTGTTCCTCAATTGGCCCCCTCTATGTACTGTATACCTGAGAAATTGACCCCTCCCCACTTCCCCCCCAAATTCCCTGTGTATAAAAACCCCATTCACCCCCTCCTCTTCCCTTCGTCCAAATATTCCAATTACCCACCAGAAGAATAGAAGTTAGAGTAACTAACCAATCCACATCTACACAAAAAGATGTTGCCAGAAGAATTGGCAGGAATCCATTTCCTCTCCCAGGGCCAGGAATCCCCAACAACCCATTTCCTCCCCCATGAAACCCCTTGCTTCCCCTCTGCCATCAACAGAATCATGACCGTCAACGACTACTTCATCCCGCCGACGTGCCCTAACAGCTACAACTCCTCCAGCTGCTTCGGCGGCTCCTCCTCCACTTCTGACGAGGCCGACGAGCAGCAGACGAGGATCGTCGACGAGCGGAAGCAGAGGCGGATGATCTCCAACAGGGAGTCGGCCCGCCGCTCCAGGATGCGCAAGCAGAGGCACCTCGACGAGCTCTGGTCCCAGGTCCTCCGCCTCCGCACCGACAACCACAGCCTGCTCGACAAGCTTAACCACGTCACTGACTGCCACGACCGCGCCCTCGAGGAGATCGACCGCCTCAAGCAGGAAGCTTCCGCACTCCGACAGATGCTCACCGACCTGCCCATCGGGAGCCCATACAATAATAGTCCCTCTTCCGACCAATCCATCATCCCCACTTCTGTAGACCTGCTTCTTTAATTACGACAACTATTTTGTTTTATGAGCAAGCTAAGCGCCCCCGTTTGTTGAGACATGTTGGTTTGGAACTGGATCTATATATATATATGTATACCACAATTCTGTACGATCCACTCCATATAAAATCAAACGAGTAATTTGTCAAAACAGGTATACAATCTAGCTGGGTTTATTTTGACTTTAAGATTGTAGAAGTAACAGTAGTTAGTGAAACCCATGAACAAAAGGATCGATATAACAAACTTACTTGAACCTCCCCTGTCATCAAGTAAGAATTAAAGAATGGAGGATACAAAGAACAACATGCTATTAGTAAACGTTATATGATTAACGATTGAACCTCTTCCAACAACTCGAATTATTGGGATCAATTGATTCTTGACATGGTATCAGAGCCTTCTGTGACCGCGAGGTCTTCTGTTTATTCCCGGTGACCCCATCTGTTTCTGTTAAGCACACGGTATTCGAACCTGTGCGTGACTTCAAGTCTATTTGAATTGCTTGAGTTTGAAGCGGAATATTAGTAAATGATATATGACTCACGATTGAACCTTTTACTACAATTCGAGTTATTAATATCAACGGGTTATTAACACAGAGTAATCATAATCTGTGACTGAAGTGTCAATATAATGAAAGGGTGCATTGTTTTCTGGGTGGTTTTCTAAGGACCCATTTCAATATTTTAATGCCTTCAACTTGTCATAGTTGTTCACAGAACTTATCGCCGCATATTTGGCTAATCCATAGTAACCCGCTCGAACAATATTGGCATTCTTTACATGGTTGGGAGAGATACCACCACCACCACATATACACCTTGGAAGATATAATAATAAGAATTCGAAGGAATAATATCTTTATTTAGGAGTAGATATGATGATAAGTACTAATTGATCAATCAGCAAAAGGATTGAGAGAGAGTGAAGAGGGCTGAAGGGGGGATTTAGAAAGGAAGAAATCATTATTGTGGGGGAAGAGAGCATGAGCTCAGCCAGCACCCATGGGGTGACTCTGGAGTTTGTTCACGATAGCAACTGGACGAGGAGAGAGAGAAGAACAGGAAGAGGAAGAAGAAGAAGAAGACGACAAATAATGGTGGCGGGAAGGTGATAGTGGTAGTAGTAGTAGTGGTGGCTGAATTCGTCATCCCAATCAGTCACTCCATCCAAAAGCAAAGCAAAGCAAAAGCAATTTGAGGGCAAGAAAGAAAAGGAGGAGGAAGGGTCATATCCACTATGGACTAAACCCACACGCCCAGACACACCCAAAGGTGAAAACACTTGCCCCATTTGCATCTACTTCCTGCTGCTGCTTGGCTTTTTATCCCTTTCTCCCAGCGAATGGCAAATGTACAAGGTGCCAGGCAATCAGTAGGCCTGAGAGAGACAAACACGTACATTTCTTTTCCCAAATTGAGTGTTGGGTTGGGTCTGTTTTGGAGAGACTACCAGAGGAGCGGAGCATCAGTACTAATTAACATACGGGGCAGGGCAGGGCAGGCAGGGCAACCATCTTTCATTTCTTGTTTTTCAGCTCCACTCTCTCCTTACAAATCTGCGTAAATTTCTTGCTCTCTCTCGCCATACAACTAGCTAGTAGGTAGTGTAGTTTCATTTGTTGGGTGGGTGCGTGGAGCCCATGGTGGACAACTATGTTGGGGGCAGCACCACATTCCTGCTTTTCATCGTCTTTCCTTTTTTACATCCCTTTCATCTGTGTCCTGTAACCACGTACGAGCCGTGCATACATCTCCATGTCTATATAATATATAGATGGTATGTGTGGTTAATATTCATATATGGACAACTCTCAATAAATCTAGTTATTCGGATCAATTGGTTTATAATATGGAATCAGAGTTGGTCTGTATTTAAGGTCACGTGTTCAAGTTATCATCATCCTCAATATTAATTGTTGTTTTACATCACATTGTATGGTTGGACGGTACAAATTCAAGCTCATGAATTGCTTTAATTTCGTTTGAGAAAGCATAAGAAAGTGGTTAAAATCCATACACAAACCTTTTCCAACAACTCAAATTATATATCGAGAGCACTACGAAATTCACGTGCAAACCAATCACCATAATTATTCGGTATATTCGAGCACTAGATACGTTGTTGTTGCCTATATAACTCAATTTATCCATACCTATAAATGATATAATCTCACTTATAATTCTAGTAAAGCGTAACTAGTACTAATTTTAGGGCTGGGAAACGGTGCGTTCTGGTCCAGAGCAGACCATATATACGGTCTATGGTCCAGACCGAGAGGTTGAAGTATAGACCATAGACCAGACCACAGACTATACGGTCCAGTCCAGACCACGCCTGTGCGGTCTGGTTTGGTCTAGATAAACCACACTCAACGAAAAATGAACAATTTGTTTTATCAACCACATAATAAATTGAACCAATAACTAAGAAAAATAATTGTTATTTGTCTTAAAACATTAATCCTAACATGCATGAATAATTTTAATACCCTAAATCTTAGTACATAACAAAGATATAAAGTAAAAGCATCCCAACTTGCACCATAACGTAATAAACATTAAAATAATGTCATATGGAGACATGATTATCTCTACTCTCTGGTTAAATTTGGTTGTGAATGAAGGAGGGACGAGATTCACAAAATTAAGGTTAAGACTTGGGTGTCGTTATGGGAGTTGGGTGAGTGAATAAATGGATTGTTAACATGTATTAACAAGTCGGTTGGGTCCACGGTTTGGTACGGTAAACCGCGGTCTAGATTAGACCAGACCAAAAGATCAAGACATAAAATAATACAGACCATGGACTAGACCAGACCATACTTAATGGTATACGGTATGAACCAAACTATATGGTACGATTTGGACCACAGTTTTTCTAATAATCTGTTCTATTTCCCGCCCTAACTAATTTTATGCCCGGTTCGGAGACACATATCATTTGTTTGTTTTTTTCCCCCAAAAATTTGTTACTTTTTCATTGTATCAAATTATTACTTTATCTTATACGAGGACCGCCACTTTAGTGTTAGTGTGGTATTTTCAAACAATAAGAGTTAGTTTAAGATCATAGTGAGCAGCGTCCGATCTTTGATTGTACAACAATTTTCAACTTCAAAGTTGTATATGGTTTTTCCATTGATTTCAACTTTCGCACATCAAAATGCTTGGGCCTAATATTGATTTCAACGTGGTGACAACTTCACATAGTAAATTCAAATTATCCAACATAATGATCAAATAGGAGGGAAATTATTTCGCCTCCTGGTGACAACTTCACATAGTTATTTCGCCTTCAAAGTCATCAAATAACTTCACATAGTAAATTATTTATACATAACTTACTTGTACCATATTTTACTAACTATGTTACAAAAAGGGCGAGGCAAGTACATAGCTTAGGAGGATCTATCCCGCTCCTCGTTGTCAGGTTGAGATAAGGTGCCCCACGGAGAGGATTTGAAAGAATAAAGGGACTCAAGGGAGCATGGTTTGCAGTGAAGTTCCTAGCCAAAGATACATCCGTTATTCCTTTAGCTAATTTCTGTTATTATTGTAGGATTAAAAAGGAAAATAAATAAAAATATAACCAATAAGGTGAACGCACGTGGGGAGGTTGCAGGCTCACCCTACAGCATGATATGCAGGCAAATATCGTCCGATTGGGTTGATTGTGAGGAGAAGGAAGAAAATCGGTTCCTATGAGAAGGAAGGAGGTCGAATTCTACATTAGAGGGGAAGAGGGAGTCACCTGAGCGAAAAAGAGAGTTTATATTTAGCGAAATTTTCTGGTTTTAATTGCTTCATTTCAATAATCCCCCGGGTCTCGTGGGAGCTGTTCTGAGGGAAGTTATGCAATATTTTCGCAGCGAATCTCGGTTTCGTGTTCGGTTTATAGGTCGGCGTAGTAATAGGGTAGCCCATTTGGTGGCTCGTAAAGCCCTCTCTTTGTACCCGGCCATGAGTCGTTTCTTTTATTTTCGGGCCTGGCTGAATTCCAGGATGTAACTATCTTTGTGGAATCTATATATGATTATCTTTTGTTAAAAAAAAAATTTCAATAATCCCCCAATTACAAAATATAAATGCCAAATAATTCCCCTTTGCTACCTAACTAATTCCTTCTAACCCGAATAGGCCAAATATACCTAAAACCCTAAAAAAACACCCTAAATCATAAACTTAAATAAAACAACAAATAGGCCAACCTTGTCCTCTCCAGATACAACGAGAGTTGATCATGCCAAGCGGGCAAGTTAGTGGTCCCTCTATAAATGAGGGGTAGAAGTGATTCCTACAAAAAAAATACAAAAACCACCAAGTTGTTAGTCAAAGGAAAGCAAAATAAAACCTTTTAAAATAATGAAATAATTAAAAAAAATTATAAGATACATAGTGTTTACCCGATTGTTGTGCCAAATTGCAGGGAGCGAATGTGTTTCTTGCTCGGAAAAATAATTTGTATCTCTTGGACTATAATGGACATACAATCGAGGATCATATATCTCGACACCCATCTGTAAAAAATTTGAATAAAATCAAATTATTTCGATTACAAAAAAATAAATCACCAAGAACGTACCCGAAGAGTCTCTTCATGCTTAATTTTATTCCATGCTTAGCTATATTTAATTTAGCTTTATTTTAATTTCATTCCGTGCTTAGCTTGATTTAATTTAGATTTATTCCATGCTTAGCTTTATTTAATTTAGCTTTTTATAAAATTCATTCCATGCTTAGCTTGATTTGATTTAGATGTATTCCATGCCTAAATTAAATTTATTAAGTAAATTGATTAGTTGTTTAAGAAATTCTTACATTCTTAGCTTTCATGCTTTAAAAAATTCTTATATACGTAATTCTACTTACAAAATGGATGCGCAAATACAAACGACCACCAACCTGAGCAGTATTTACTGTTTTATAGTGCTGAGTTTGATAAGCCTTGGTGTAACCAGGTAATCATGACAATTCAATATTTTAACGAATTACAATTTTGTGGGTGTAATTGGTTGTTAATTGCCAATTATGAATGAGTGTAGGATACATGGGAACCATATCCACGTGAACTGGTCGAGTTGCATCATCTTAGACACCCTGAGGATCACGAGACGTGGTTGTGAAAGGTGCCCTTGATTTGCT